GCTGAATGTTGAATCGATTTAGGGTTTGTATGTTTGAATCGATTTAGTTGGTAGCTATTGCTGAATGTTGTTGTTTATCAATTGGTTTACATTGATTATGATTGTTGAATTGATTATGAGAGTTTACTTGATTTCGTAGTGAAAAAACACTAAACAGCTCACGGGGGTAAATTGGTCATTTTAACCTGTTCTGTTCTGTCCTGTCCTGTTTTACCAAACGCTGAACAGCTGTCCTGTCCTGTCCTGTCCTGTCCCGTCCTGTCCCGTCCCGTCCCGTCCTGTCCAGTCCTGTCTGCGCACCAAACGCACCCCTAAAGTCATGTGCATCGGCTAGGTCCGAGTCAGACACTCCAACGACAAACAAACAGCCACCGCCTTCTGCCGGTGTAGATGGCATCAAAAACTCGAACTCGAAGTGTTTCCGACGCGTTCGGAGAAGAATCTTGTTTCTTCGATGTATGGCAAAAAATTGAAAAAAAGTTATAGGAATTGGAACAGATCAAAGTTAATCAGAAAACCCGAGTACATATTACCCTTCATTTAATAAAATTTAACCGTTTAATATAATGGTTAGGATTGCTTCTCCTTTTCTTATATATTTAGGACTTCTCATAACCTCTACATACATACACATACACATATATATAGGGTTGGGTTCACGTGAGACGAGGCATCAGACCCGTGAGACCATTTGTTTTACACTTGAAACTTCATAGTAAAACACTATGAAGGTAAAAAAAAAAACTTTCACAGCAAAAACACTGGTAAATTTACCTTCACAATGTTTTGCTATGAAGTTTCAAGTGTAAAACAAATGGTTTCATGGATCTGACGGAAACAATCTGGTCTCACATGATCCCAATTATATATATTATAACTATTTAAGAAAACAAGAAAAATGTCGTTAATGTACAAAATCACATGTGATTTACGTTAACATTAAAAAATTGAAAGCGGACGACTTTTGAACATGTATGATTTTGTACATAAATATATATATATATATATACAAGAATCATGTATGATTTTGTAACATGAATCATATATAATATTGTATATAAACGACATTTTTCTTGTTTTCTTAAATAGTTAGCATTCTCGTTGAAGCTTTCACAGCTGTTTTATTTCCAATGAACGAAGAAGATATGTTAGCAACACATCTCAATTGATATAGTCTCTTAATTCGAAGTCACTTTTTTGTACCGTATATTAACTAGTCCCATAAATTCTAATTTAACATAAAACTAGTAAAAATAATTGGTGTTTTTGAGGTTCAAGAAGGTAATGACTAACAACAATTATAATTGGTGTTTTTGAGGTTCATGCCGAGGGATCTCAATCCGAAAAACAATTTTCCCCACTAGTCGAAAGAACGGTGTAATGTGTTACGGGTTATGGTGAATAGCTTATCAATATACAATGAAGCAACGTACGTAGACAATTATAAACATCACCGGTGATAATGCTAGTAAACCTACTGAAACAACTTTTCTCTTCCTAAGATGCCCGAAACAATTTCGTTCTGAAAAACATATTTCGAGTATTTCCCCAACAATCGTCCACCATTTCAAAATAGTCGCAATATTAGAAGAAGACTCGCACAAAGACCTAACCAAATTTCAAACTTCATGGGGATCTTGCACCTTGAACCTTTACATTGTCAGGTGACCTAATACAGATTTCAAAATTTGTATCAAACATTCGTCATATCGAACATAGTTTTACCTCCAAATAGGTATATTGTCGAAGTCAACAGAAATCGTGTCATAGAATAAGATAGAAAACAATACAAGGCGAATACGATTAGATACAGAAAACAAGGGATTGTTGTCTGCTCCTATCTTGACTACAATAATTTACCTCCCCATGAAAGATCATGTGAAATCTAACATGCTTTTATGTTTAAAGGATAGTGATATCTGATTTGCATTTTTCAGCATGACAAAGGTAACAGAGCGATACAACAAAGTGAAGGAGGAATGTCGTCAACTGGTGAATCCTACTGCGGATGTGAAGGTAGTATTTCGCAATCCGTATTCCAGTTTCTTCGTTACAGCTGCATGGATACAGATAGATAGCTTTTGTTTTCCTTCATTCATTCTATCTGCTTATTATAAGACAACTTTGAGCCATGAAAATGCATTGATATAGCTACCTTACCAAGCAGTAATAATATAAAAATACCATTGGTGCACAACCTTAGGCGCATTTGCCTTTCTCACATAACCTATCAATCTCGTCTCCCGGAGATGCGCCGATCTCCGTTCAGACTGCCTCCATCGCACGCGCCGTCCTGATCTGCGACTAATCTNCTTTGAGCCATGAAAATGCATTGATATAGCTACCTTACCAAGCAGTAATAATATAAAAATACCATTGGTGCACAACCTTAGGCGCATTTGCCTTTTCTAGGAGAAGGGGGGGGGGGGGGGGGGGGGGAGAGGATGGACCACACTGCACCAATGCTCCTAGGCTTGAAGAAGATTTGGGAGAATTAGAGCAACAGGAGCTGAATATGCAACAGCAATCCAAGGTCGGATCCGTGAGACAAATTGAAGTGGTGTTTCCTTGTTCTGGGATCCTTTATCTTTGTTTAAATCCTATTAAATTCAATCTGAAGTTAAGTGAACTAGATCTTACTTGTTATATATGGCCTTCCCTTTGTGTTTTACAGAAAAGTTTCCGCAAAGGAAGCTAGAAAGCTGAAACTAGAAACACATACAAATATGCATTTATATGTACAAATTCAATATGTAAGAATACCATGTTATCATGTCCAAAGGAAATACCAATAAAGGAGGTAACTCGGGAATGAACTATATATGGCACGTGTACAAGCAACCCTAATGCTGAAAACAAGACTCGATTAAACAACCTATCCTGGAAATCTGCTGACCACATTCAAGCCTGATCCAGAGAATACGTATTTTAACTTCTTGTGCTTGTTGGCAGCTAAGTTTACCAATGCCCTACTTTAACCAGGATCCTAGAAAATAGTTTAGACTCAACCACATCCTTCTCCATGCATTTCCCTGTGGGACAGAATGTAGTGTTGTAATGGATTAGAATATTGGAAATTACTAGTGATGTCTCCTAGCTAGTTCCTATTGAGTACTGAAGTGTCCTGTGATGCAATTTGAGGTCTATGAAATCTAGATATGATACCTCCCAATATTTACAGTGGAGATGCTAAAAATGACAAGTGTTTGGCTAAAAGTATATTTATCTCACAGTAACAAATGCAAGTTTTTTTTTTCTGAATCTATCCTAATGCCCTGGCCAATACTTTCCGTTACACGTATTTCAACTAGTCATGACAACACTTCCTACTCCAGCATAACATTATAGCTTCATTCATTTGCGATATTAAAAAAAATAAAAATTATAGTCATAAAAGATTGCTTAATGTTAACTTTATAGCCAGATAAGCAAACATGTATCATTCGCAAATAAATAAAATACATTAATGAAATTACCAAATCATATCAATAAAAAGAGAAACCCAGTTCACTTTGAGCAGGATTTGAAAATTGACCTGCTCCAGTCTCGCATTTAAACAACAATACATTCCCATCATTTTCCGTAACTGTTAACTTGGCAATAGCATGTTCAGAATAAAGTACACATGGATCTGCAAAACACTGAAATGAGACCAGTTAAATGACTGGATAAAATGGTGCATCGTATCCAAGCCTATAGACCCCATCTCCATTAATGGCTTTTGATCAATGCTTGTTGGAATGCTAACCTAGTTATAGGAGAAGGATTTTGGCTTCCAAAAGTTAGAGCATTACTGTGGTACTTCCTAATTCGTACTTAATACCATGATATCACATATTTGTCACATACAATATCAAGCAAAAAAACAGCAGGTGGCCCGTTGTTCATTTGGGGTTCACATTTTAGGTCCTTAAAGTCACTTCTGGTGCCCTTAGGGATCAGTTGGAACACTAATTAACAAAAGATGCATGGCTGAGTAAAAGAAGAAAATGGCAAACGGAAGGAAGAATCAATCATCAAACTAGTTTTTTTTACTTCCGCATCGTCCCATTTTCCAGATCGTCAAATTAAAGAAAAAATTCAGTGATTGCCTTATTGGTACAAGAAAAAATGTAGCATACATGTGGTAAAATGATTTTTGGTAGAGGACTAGTTGAGCAATGAGCATTAAAGGCAGTGATATGGGGAAGAACAAAAGAAAGAAATTAGGAGACCATGTGGCAAGCACAACTCTAGCCTCACCGCTTTTGCCTATGTAATGAAATTGGATCAGATGGGAAACAACATAGCATAGTTACAAGTAATAGACATCTGCTAGGTGATGATCAGGGAATTGTATGTAATGCCCAAAAAATTGTTAAGAATCTTCACTATAGCATGTACAAACAATTTAGCTTAAGCATATCACTGAATAAGTAGTAGACAAATCTTGAAGTAGAAATTAAATTTGATAAAAAGAACACCCCAATGGTTAAAAGCAGATGTACCTGATTTCCTATTTGAACGAGATTTCTGCTGAGTAACAAGAAAAGAAAGAATCAGTGCCGGCAACAGTAGAGGAAAGAAGCAACAGGGGAGAAATCGCCAAAGAGGGAGCAGAGAAGCAGCAGAGCTAAAACGAGCACTAGAAGTGAGACTGGCAGAGGCAACCAAAGGGTAATTGTATATGCATAGGCCTTGGAAGTTGAGTGATTCAGAGCCCCTTGGAATATTTAAGAGGGTGATAGTATTTTACCAAACAATCTCCATGTCTGAACGATTCAGAATAAGCTCTGAAAACAGGCCCTTAAGACCTTAACCACCAAAAGCAGTAGTTGTAGCCAACCTTGTGGTTCTACAGTTTGATAAGAGGCAGATGAGCACCCCGTTTCATTTTGATGGCTGAGCTAAAGGAGCTTTGAAAGATAAGCATGGGCAACCACCTGGAATTGCCAGTTGTATTGACAGAAAACCAGAACAAAATAGATTTTCAAGGTTCTATTCAGAACAAGAGATCTATCAAAGTGCAGAGTACCTAGCTCCTTCTTTTGGGTAGATAGAAGAAGACCAGCAGAGAAATCCATCTGGGGTTTCCCAGATGAATTTGACTGAAAAAGTGGCAATAAAAGATTATAAGTTTTATTAGGACTTGAGATTGGGCAGGCATACCAAACAATAAAATGTTCATAAATCTATAATAAACTTTGAATCACAAAAAATGTATAAATAAGATGGTGTTATGATCTAAAAAAGTACATCAGAAGTTTCAACAGTGCCTGCATGGTTTACTAATGACACTCCACCCCCCTCTGTATTGATCAATCAAAATTCATCGATGTGAAAAATTAAGATCTGAAGGGATTAACTTGTCAATAGCAACGAGTTTCAGCTAGAGCACTATTTTGTACAACATGTTCGGCTTGCAACAGTCAGTGATCAGCTAACAATATATGTTTACCTTTGCAGAAAACCGGAGAGGAACTAATAACGTTCATCAGATATTAGAAGGGCACCCCATGGTTCTGCAACTCCCAAGCCTCAAATTATCCCATTGAAAAATAGTTTGTTGGTTATGACCTTGTAGGGAAAATTGTACAAGAATTGAAGTTGAGATCAACGAAGGATGGATGGAGTTTTGTACCACTTTATGGGTCCCAGTAAATCCCTACACAAGATGGTAAGATAAAAATGTGATATACAAAGAGACCTCTGTCAACCGACCATTAGTTACTATCACTGCAAAGATCATAACAGGATCCAGTTGCATATATTGAACAACACACAAAAGAAAGCACATACATTCTCTGTGCACAGAAAATTATCGTACATGAACACATTGGATGCTGGAGACTTGAACTCAAGAATAACATACTAAAGGCGGCAAGCCTTGTATAAGTTGCAGCCATTTCTAGATGTGTTTAAATTAGTTTAAAATGGCGGTGGAGCTCTAGAATATGGTTTAAGCTCCCATGCTTGCAAAATCCTACAGCGACTTCCATCAGAGGGGAAGAAGGGAGAATCATAAGAAGGTTGTAACCTTACAAGACACACATGAACACTCTGAGTACTGGCAATGGTAGCTTGGGGATATACACTTAAGGCGAAGAGGGTCAGGTAAATTTACAGCTATTCTGGCGGTGTATAATTAATTTTATATAGAAAAAAGGACAGCATTAACAAATTTATTAAAGTGATGCAAGTGGATCAACCCCTAGGGAAATGGAACTCCATGGTGACTACCAAAAGGAACCAGAAGAAGGGCGAATGATAGGGAGGTTGGAACTAGTCCAACATTATAGATGTTGTAGTCCTACATATGCAATTTCAATAAGGTTAGTTTCAATAAATCCAAACCATGCCAGGAATTAATAAGCGTTATACACTGCCCAACAATTACTTAGTTTTTCGTGGCATAATCAATGAGGTTTTAGAAAGAACTTTGTAGAATAGTAATCGGACATGGATTAATGGAGAATTATAGATAGACTCTAATAAGAAAACGTTTGTCCGATAAGTGCTTATCCCATATTGTTAGGAGTTGCAGTTGTAGTCTATCTCCCTAACCTCTACATGTATATATAGTTCCTTATGTTGTAATCAACATATAGTAGAAAATAATATTCCTCCTACTTCTCTAAAGCTTTTATGGTATCAGAGCTCTAAACTGCTTTGATTCGTTTCTCGATTTTTTTCCTTAAAAACTCCGGCATGAACAGTGTTTAGTCAACAACCACAATGGGATTAGACCCAGAAAATCGAACCAGTCAAAAAGCATTCCTAATGCTGCCAATTTCGAGAACAATCTCTCTCTCCAAATTACAAGCTTTAAGCTGTCTGGATCGAACTACCTCTAATGGTCTCGATCTGTCCAACTCGTTATTCGTAGGAAGGGGAGCATGGCTACATCGATGGCTCCACTGAAAAACCCTTACCCATAGATCCCTCGTTTGCTGAATGGGATATTCAGAAACTACACAATCAACAAGTGCGGCCAATCCAAGACTTGGTTTTGCATCATGTAAACCCCCATAAGAAATGCATGCTCCCATAGTGATATGTTAAGTCTCTAAGCTTCAACGTTAAACTTCATACGGCAAAACCATTCATATATTTTTTACACAAAGTTTGTGCATCTCAAAACTTGACCTCATATGGCATACCCGTTCAAATGTAGATGTAATTGCTCATTAGTTTTGGAGTGAAGACATGGAAACTTGATTAGGTCAATGTTAAGCAGATAACATGCATTATGATACACTTAGAGCATATAATAAGTTAACGGCCACACGATATATAGTAGCTTTTGCATGTGATCCTTGTGGTGCAACTAACTTCAGTTTGAAGTAAGGGATATTTCATGACTTTTTTTTTTCATTTGCTTTGTCTCATACATGGATCAATTCAAAAGTTCCATTCTACGACACGACTTCATATGAAATAATTTCCCAAACTAAAGTATGCTTTGCACCAGCATACCTTGATCGTATTACAACAATTATGCTTCATAGAGATTACTCAAACATTTCTTTTTTGATAACTAGTTTTGGCAAGGCGAAGCAGCTAGGATGAGGCAACAACTACAATACTTGCAACAAAGCCACAGGTATGTTCATTTCTCTTTCTTCATATCTAAAGCAAAGTGATAAATGTTCAACAATAGTAGCATATGAAAAGAGGTACCCACAGGAAGAACAACCATTACTTGCTCATCCAAGCACAAGCTATGAACTACACACAAGGACTCGAAAGAGAGTCACAAACTCATTTTACCTTCAGACCACAAAAGATTTGCACAAATGTCAAAAATCATGGCTACATAGCTTTGTACTAAAAACGCGTTATGGTGATTTTCATTACGAGACAAGAGAACTCTATCTAGGTCTAAAATCAAGCAAGTACCCATCAATAACTATTGTCCATTATTTTTGTAACTTCATGAATACAGGATTGTGCATTGTTCTGATAAACCTATCAAGGATACATAGAAATAATAAAAATGTTACAAAAAGCATTTGCATCCTCGGTGATGGCCAAGAGGGATTTTTATAGATTTATATTTCAAGATATTTGATCAAAGGCGAAGAGTAGTCAAGCTACCAAATACACATAGATGTATGAAGACTTGTAAGGATATGTCAAAAAATAACCCTGCCATCAAATATGTTCCATTTCTATTTCCATTTCCACACCCTTTTAGTGATCCGACCCACGCTTTATTTTCTCATGAAAGATAGAACAATAAAAGTTCATTGTTGGCAGCATAGAGCCAACTCCAATTACAACCTCTTGGACATAATTCTCTAATTGTAAAAAATTGGTATACACCACCCTGTGGAGCGTCCCTAGCGTACCAGTCCTACGGCCATCATGGGGGAGAAAAATCACTGGTTTGAACCCAGGACCTCCTTCCGGATGCTCACCATCCTACCGTTGAGGCACGTGGGAACGTAACTCTAATGTAATGTGCACTTGGTACAGATCTAAGATCTATGATTATTGGTTCAATTGCAATCTCTTGTTATAGGAGAGAAGCTTGTGAAACAAGATTATGACAAGTGGAAACCGGCTATGGGAGTGAGGATTGTATTTTGGGCAAGAGAGATGTTTCTTTACATCAAAAGTCTAAATAAATGAAACCATGTTGGACATTGTATTGTTGGGAAGTAGACCACGTTCAAGACTAGCACTATGATACCAAGAAGACTCAACACCATATTCATTCGGATCCGAGGGCTGCGTGTAGGTTCATTCCAAGAATAGAGTTTCAATTATTGTTATGGTGAGATTTAGAATCTCAAAGACGTTTTTAACAGGACAAAAATAGCAAGATTGCACAAGTATACGCTCTCATGTACCATAATCTTTAACAAGTAGTAAAATGGAAGAACCAAGTATCATATTTCATAGGGATAGGTTTTATCATAGGATATCAAGCAAAAAGCCAACTTCAGATGACAAAATTGAAGATTAATATTTGGGTTTTGATTTTAGAAACAGATAGCATGGGTGTAACATTCCACCACGTTTAACCGAAGTCAATGTGGTAGGTATTATTCTACAGCATAGCAATGTTGCAACATCATATGCCTCACTCGATTCTCTTTTAGCTCGTATAGACACTTTTCCAAGTTTCATGAAGCTCTTATTCATATGTTTGTTATCATGTTCCTGTGTAGATATAGCATTAGGCATAGCACGACCTTAATCTCTTAAAACCATACAGAACAAATACCCATTCATTTGCTACTTTGATAAACCTTTTTGAGTTTACAATTGCATAATTCAAGTTGGTTTTGTCTTAGTTGCTCATTCCTAAGTTGCAATTACGAATAAACACTTTGACAAGTGATCAACTTGTCGACAAAATGTAGCTATTATCAACAAACCTTCAAATGAACAAAATGAGTGTGCTAATGAAAGATGACACCTCATTATTGTCTCATTTTCTTACTCAAATTTTCCCCACACCACATTACAATAACATTGCTAAAAAGTAAAGCAAATTAAAGACACAACTTGGCACATGGTTGGCTGTTAATAGGGGGCCATTTTCACATGATACGCAGTTGAGGGTGGTCCGAATGTAACTGGGTGGCTCTGAGAAGCAATGAACACTCTAAATGGGTACCTTAGTTTACCCTCAGACCCTAAAAGGAAAAACCTAACCCTGTATAATTTGCAACAATTCTCTATCGTTTCTGTGTTTTTACATACAAAGGTATAAATATATTTATACATGGGATGAGAGAATCAAATCTCTCTAGTTTCCTAATCTATCATGATATTGTTTCCGTAAGGTTTTGTTTCCATAACACTTGCCATGTCATTGGAGAGTTGACATGACGGCAGTGAATGGACTATAAGACATAAAAGATACTTTGAAATTGCTTAAATTTTAAAAAGAAACATGCATGATGTTAAGACAATAAGACTGTTGATTTATCAGTGACGTTGCACATAGATCCTTGATTGGGCACGTAATTGCTCTTGGGGAAGCAAGGTTAGTTGGATTAGCAGCATAAGATTGTTTAGAATATCACGAATACAGAATATATACCGATGGAAGCTAAGGAAACTATCAAATTAATTATTGCTTGGTGGCTTATTTTGTATCATGGCATGATTGTTGTTCATGGTAGGAGAAGTGTAACAAACCTGACCAAATATCAGAAGTATCATGAAAGGACAAAACACAAAGGCGTGAAGTGCCATTTTGCTTGCGAATCTGCTTTTAAAAGTATAAATTCAAATCTTGCATAAAGGTGTCAGATACAATCTAAGAGTACTTGTTGCCAAGTTCAAGCATTGCTCTTATATGATTAACATTTGTCGCCTTCATCTTGTATGACCAAGAGAAAAGAATAGAGCGCTTCGCGACCATTTTAAAGTGGAGATCCAAAAAAGGTTTTAAAATTGTGGAGCATGCTTCAAATACATGTTATAGACTTGCTTTATGATGTTGGTAGCAGAAGACCTACCCCGTACACCGCACATCTTTGGTATTGTAGCCATGTATGCATAAATTACAGTCCGAAATTTTGTGACAACGTTTTTTTTTATTTTCTTTCTTCTAGCCTTCTTTGATGGGTACATAGATCCATTAGTATTTTGAGTGATTCTCTTCACTATTCATAACCTAAGATTTCTCATAGCAGTTCTATCCTCTCATGTGGTTTTCCAGGTAAAGGTTTCAGCATTAATTATATATTCATTAGTCTTTTTTTGCTCTTAAGAGGTCTTTAATCTTTCTGGTTTCCACGATTTATAATGACAAGAATGACAATCAAGAACAACTTGAAATCTCACATAGAGAATAAAATTTTGTGTATCTAAGAATATCCCAACAATATTATAGACTAAATTATAACGAGCCACTTCATTTTATAGTAAAGGACAAACACAGATCAATAATAAATGAATGAGAAGTTGCATTTAGATCTTCTAAATTTTGCAATAACAAAGAAAGTATGCTCATTGAGGCGAATGAAACTAAAGGCTATAATCCTAGTGCTAGAAGGGATGCCGACGTAGGCTGGTACGTCAGGAAAGGCTTTGTATTTGGTTTCTAGTTTAGAAAAGGTTATTATAGTGAGTAACTTTGATTAGTAATGGAACTTTTTATATGATTAAACATATATTGCACATGTAAAGGTCTCTAATATCATAATTTAGGACGACCATACAAAAATTTGGTAGCATGAATCATGGTCTGATCATATCCAACATGGGCTCATGTATGACTAGCGGGAGATTCCATGTAATCTTGTAACAAAGTACGAAGAGTTGAAATAAGCTATAAATAACATGGCCTAAGTAGCTCTCTTCTCTTTTGCTAGCTTCTTGCTAGCCATTAAAAATTCCGGTTGCTGTTTCAAAAAAAAACATGGTCTAAGTAGGTATACCTAAGCAATTGGACTATGTATAACTAAGTGTAACATATTTGATACAGAAATTCATTTAGATTGATTTGTTCATATTGATATATATGCCAAGTACTAGTGACCTTAGGTTTAGCACTCACTTAGGCGAAATTAAGATGCAAATACTCAAGCTTCTAATTTTAAAGAATGGTGAAAGAGGTTCTTGTCTAATTGTTGCGTTTCAAAGATGTGCACTTTCTGCCAAGAGAAGAAATGGGCATCCAATTAAGAATGTCTGGAGGGTTAGGAATTTGAAAAGATAAAGCTCTGCTTTGATTTTGTACTACAAAAGAGTAATGCACATAGTTAGTCAGTAAATAGCTACATGGACAGAAAGGCGAGTCGTTCAACAAGCATTCAAGCCAGTGACATTAGTTTAACTTTAACATTTCTCTTTCATCAATTACGTTAATTGGTTTTCTACTATTTAGATTTTCAGTAAAATGCTACCGGATAGTCTATTCTTTTAACCTATGGATAATTGTTTACACTAACAGGCAGCTATTTGGAGAAGAACTTTCTGGCTTGAATGTAAAAGATCTACAAAAGCTGGAAAACCAACTGGAAACAAGTCTAAAAAATGTCCGGATCAATAAGGTAGAAGTTCGCCTATTCAAGCATTTCTCACTGTATCAAATCATCAATTAGAACCGTACATCAATGAGACTAAGCACACCTAAAATCTTGCTTCAGGAACATATTTTCACAGAAGAAATCAAAGAACTACACAGGAAGGTCAGGAAGTGATGCATATATTTCCCTTAGATTATACATGAGATTACGCTCTTTGACTAATACTGTTGCAGGGAAATCATATTGTTCAAGAAAATAAAGAACTGCAGAAGAAAGTAACCCTCCTGCATCAAGAGAAGTCAGATTTGCAAAAGAAGGTACTGACATAGATCCAAAACAACATAATCACATTCTTATTACCACTGACAATATCAGGTCTAATAACCAAGCCTAATCATAAGTTCGTCAACCCAGATATATAGATTGTGGACCATGGATGAAGCAAACAGAAACTCCAATGCCTCCTATTCCCTTAGAATTAATGACTTAAACGCACTCCAGCTAAGCCAGCCTCAACCACAGAAGAAAGACATACCAGCAGACACCATGAAACTAAGGTAACCACAAAATGGACAAATTTTCATTGATTCCAAATATACACATTCAGGCATCTAAAATAAGATATTGACATGTGTGCCAGGTTATAATTTGCAATCTGAAGCAAGTTGATGGTTATGACCAGTTTCAGTGAATCCACATATCTGCTAGGTGCCAAGAATTTATTATCGCACATCTACAAGAGACTTGAGCAATACAAGATCTACCTCTGTTGATATGACCATTCTGCTGCAAAAGCTCCAGAATACTGTAAAAGATTCAATACAGCATCTGTTAGAAAAATGTTCTTCGAAGGATGTAAAGTTTCAATAATTAATAAAACACTAGATGTAAGGGATGTAATTTAAGATGTACTAAAACTTGTAGCCTTTGATTTAAGTATGCATGTATTGTAATATTTACCTACATATACATTACTAGATATAAAAGATGATAAGGAAAGCTCATTGCCCAGGGAAAACCAAAAGCATAAGAGAATTCAGGCATTTACAGGTCAATAATGTAATCATATGAGCTTCAGCACACAGCCAATGATAAGTACTTAAGAGAACATATGAAATGAACTTGTAAGGCAACACTTAGTTTGGAATTTGCAAATGATGTCCTCAGGTGATTACTAAAAGGAGGCCCAAATCAGACAACAGCAAGATTACCTTGGAAATCGCTTAAGAAGATCATAGTTATGAAACCCATCAAGCAAATAGACTCACCTTAAGTGCCTGACTACTACAACTTGAAGAACGCAAAATCAAAAAAAAAATTGAAGAGAATGTCAAAAGGTTGAATCATCTCATTTTCAGTACCAAGAACTACATGTGGCTAAGCTATCCCAATGGTTCATCAACGAACAGAACATAATACTCGGATAACTTTGGAGGAGCGTGAGCCTCACCACCAGCCCACTGAAATGCACACCTGATAGTGCAGTCCTAAAGCTAAGAGCTCCTATGTCTGCAACTATCCAAACCATAGCCACATCATCATGGAGCACAAAAATCATCATTACTACACTAGAATAAGACACTGCAATACAGAGCCTTACTTGCCACCTGTATCAATATCACATGCAATTTGTGTACAAGCAAGTAGAAAATTTTCATATAAATGCAGACGGATTCCCCTTCAACATGTAACGCAATAAAATCTCTTTATTTTTGTGTTTTCCCAAAGAACGAAAAGGAAATAAGAGAAAGAAGACAACAACCATAACCTTAGAAAATCCAGACAATTGGTCTTTTGCCACCAATCACCATACAGCAAAAACTCTAGATATTACATTATAACCACCCTAGCTGAAAATCAGAACACACAAAAATTTAAGGGACAATGGCTTCAAAAATACCACCCACCCCTAGCCATATGTCAGAATAGGGGACACACGCCTAGTTTGTCCCATGAAGACCATTTAATTTAAGATCACCGGTCATGTTGGTAGAATCCAACCAACCTCTCACAGAAATTCACTTAAAGTACCCAAATCAACCACCATAGTTGTTAAAAGGCGCACCTGAGGCTCATAAGGCTCAAGGTCTTGGGCTTTTTTGAAGTAGAGGCTAGGCATATTCACAAGGCTCACTAAGGCCCTGCGCCTTGGCTGAGGTGCCTTGTGGGCCTAGGCGCGCCTCATAAAGAGTTATTAAATACCAAATCAAACCCCAATATCAAATAAGTTCTCTCATCTTCTTATCTTCTAGATGTCTTAAAAAAAGAGTTATTAAATAGATGATATAAGTCAAACCCTAATATTAAATACCTGGTTCTTATAACTTCAAGCCTCTTTCTCTATAAATGCCCGCCAGACCTTGAAACTTCTTCCTTATGGCTCACGCTTTAAACCCTTCTCCCTTCTGCCTCTATCAAAGTACAGTTGGTTGCTGCACTGGAGGCTTGTACTTGCTACATATTTGAGTTGTATGTAAACACTGTGTGTGTGCATATATGTGTGTATATAGTTTTTTTCATATAAAATGTGCCTCACATTCCTGAGGCCCGCACCTCATGCCTGGGCCTCACTCCTGGTCCCGGGGACCCCTTTGCGCCTAAGTGGGCCTTGAGCCTTTAACAATTTAGGTGACTAGGGCACTTTGGTACAAAAAAGTCCCAAACTGAACAACTCACCTGAACTAAAATGGTTTGCGGGTCAAAAGTTAGGTTAACCAAATAAGGTAAATTTTGATTTGTATTATTTTTTTTACCATATCGAATAACCAAATAGAAAATTATATTAATTATTTAATTTATATAATTTCCTTCTAGATGAATTGGTTTGAACATTTATAAAATTAACATTAGGTGAATTGATTTATTTTTAAACTAAAAGAACAAGAATTTGATATACATTTAACAAAACCATCAACCAATGTTATCATTATAGCATGATTGCAAGAACTAGCGGTAACAATATGTAGGGGGAACAATTGTCAAGCGAGGGAGTCGGGGGTTTTGTCAAAACAGACTGGTACGCTGGGAAACCGTCAAGAATGACCGAGGAAAATTAAGGACATATAAGAGTAAAAAAAAAACTTTTACCTAGATGATAGTTGAAAATTTGATAGTTGAGTGGAGGCCTTTTCCCCAACACTCCTTAAGCCAAGTCCGCCACTGCCTAGCATGTTCCACTCGAAAATGGGGCCTGAAGGGTGAGATGTAAGCAGGCATGTCCCCACTCCGAAAGAGTAGAGCGCCTATTTTCATGAAGCCCCCAACTTGCAATAAAGTGTTTGCAAAAAGGGTTAGTGAAGACGTAAGTGCTTCAGAAGGTTTGTCGAAAATAAAAACTAGAAATCGGTAAAACGGTTTAAAAAAGGTTAGACAAGTACATAAAACATAGGAATATAAAGGAAAACTACAAAAACTGAACATCCCTCGGTCTATCTTAAACCTTTGGTAATGTTGTTAATTGGTGCTATAGAGGTTAGCGTTCCTATGGAAATAGCGGTGAGAAATCGGTAGGAAATAGCGGCGCTAATCACCGCAATTGGGTGGTGATTTTGATTTGCAATAGCGGCATGAAACTGCAATTAGGGAGTTGGGCTTTCAGTTGGCTTTTTAAAGGGTTTAGAGAAGTCGGTTAAGGGATAACGAGATAGGGGGATGATTTTATTTGCAATATTGGTGTGTAAACTCGCTATTCCTCTCTATCTCTTCTATTCCAGCATTGTGCATTTTATTCTACTCTTCTTCATCTTCTCTTCACAACATTGTCTTCCAACATCCTATGTTCATCATCTCTTCTATTAGGGTGTTCTTCTATTCATCATCATAATACATATAATATATTATGTATACATACATTTATATATAATTTGTAATTATAACATGAACCTTTATTTGTGGACCGTTATACCATCGCATTAAGCCGATAACCGCTATATCAAATCACGGTTTTGGCTGCTATTTACCCATGCCAATCACTCTTATTGCCCCCATCCCCACCCCCCACAAAGAAAAGAAGCCCACTCCCATTCCAAAATTCGAACCCTATCCCATATCATCTCCCAAGCATAACGTGGATATACTATTAGATCACTAAGCTTGGATATTTTTCATCAGTTCTATGACTTCCTTAGCTTTGATGCCCTAAGTTTATCTACTTCTCATTATTATCATGTCCATGGCATTCGATGGTTCTTTACAATGTCATGATATTATCTATTGAACAGCTTGTCTTTGTCAAGGTAATCTCACCACTTTTCTCTCACTCCTGCAATGAACTAGCTTTTGAAGCTCATTCTTGATCAGTGTTCAAAAAGGAGCGCCATGGCGCGATATATTTTTATTTTTTGTGTTTTTACACTTTCAACTTTAGATTTTACATTTTTATAGATCTAACTAATCACGTCACTCACAGTTTCACAAATTCATAAACGTTACAGACTCACGGTTAAAATGAAGTCGTAAAATTACCTTTCTAAGTTCTACTTTAAATATTTGATCAAAAACCTATTCTTATGATAATAATCTATATGATTTTTATTCTTCTAATATGAATGTACATTTTTTAAATATCATTATCTGATTAGATAATATATAGAAAATATCTATATATATATATATATATATATATATTTCTATATATGACATACAAATTTGCCACCTTATGTCACATCTTGAAAAACGCCACGGCGAGTAAGGCTTGACCTTGCCGCCACGGCTTACGCCTTTTTGAACCTTGTTCTTGATACACCTAATAATCAATAAAGATGCCTCATCCAACTATCTACATTATGCCTTTTTTTTTCTTTGCGCCTTAGTTACTGTAAGGATATACAAGACAAAATAACATGTTGCATGCTTTATCCCAACAATATCGGGTTCACAAACTAAATCAAAAATTAATGCAAAGTTGTATAAACACTTGGCAACCTAAAGACTTATAATGAAAGAAATTTCAACAGTCGTCGCCTCATAACTTGAAGATATGGTAAGCATGCTCAAACATAAGGTATCTTAGAAGGATATTTGTCATTATCTTGGGTTGATATCAACAAATTAGTTATTCAAAAGATAATAGCAAGGTAGACAGTAGATACACAATGCATGGATAATATTACATGATCATAAAGTTGAATGTAAGCTTCTGAAGACAATGGTATGTGATCTGATCGGTGGGCAAGAAGATCTTGCCTCCATTGGATAATACTTTCCTAAAATGAGTTGTAGGATTTCAAAAATAAGATCCAACCAATCATGATACATATTATTGTGAGACATGAATGTAACTAGATTGAATACCCCTTACAATGTTAGCATTTGACACATAATTTGTACCAAGAAGATGGCAATAGGAATGAAGACCACCGTTGGCATCAAAAGACATTGGTGGTAGAGAATTTAGCATATGTGAGAAGCTAGCCCAGAACAAGGGTGATGGAGAAATATCATTCATGTAGAGGATGCATTCTCCAAGTAAACATTTTTTACCCAACTAGTTTAGAATACAAGCTCATCTTTATTGTTCATGTTGATCAAAGCATTCTTATAAACATTGGTCTTCTTGCTTTCAAATGGATATTATGCATGGCTCCTTGGTTCCTAAGCTTACCAACGTCATATACTTCTTGCCTTTGGTTTCTCAAAAAGCTATATTTGCTCATTTTATCGTCAATAATGCTTCCTAATGTGTGAACTCAAAATGACAAAAAAAATATGAAAAGAGAACATTAAGATGCACACAACTCTAGAAAAGTAAAAATGTATGAAAAATGTACTGATCTTTCAAGGGACATTGGATTAATATGCACACAA